GCTTCCACCCCTGGCGGCGGGCACTGTGCAGCTCCCTCCTCACCGCAGCCTCAGCGCTGGGGGAAGGGGGTGCGTGGGGGTGTAACACAGCAAAAGGGGGCCCCAAAGAAAGGGCTGAGTGCACGTGCAAGGAGGAAGCAACTGTTCACGGAGGTAGAGAAGACCAAGAGAAGTCTAGGGAAAGGTAACTGATGATGAAGAGAAGGGGACTGCAGAGTACTTACCCCACCCCTCTTCTGCTAAATAGCAGCAACAAAATAAAATACAAGGAAACTTTATTTTTCAGTTTTACCAAGGTTTTGCTGTTTTTGTGTTTTTGTTTTTTTCGTTTGTGTCTTCAAGCTGCTTATTAGTGGACAAGTCCGGTCAGTTTTTGTATTAAAAAGGATCTTCATGGAGGTAGCTTTGTCTCTGTCTTGGCTTTTGCTTGGTCTTGCCTGCGCACTCATCTCAGTAAACAAACTCAAAATAAAATTAGAAACGAAAAACTGGAATTCCAGGCAGAGGCAGCAAGCAAGGCAGCCAGGTTCTCCGTGTAACAGACATGGCGCTGCGGCCTCCAGTCACTATGTACAGAGTCCATCATACATCCCCCTCTCTCCTAAGCACACTCCTTGCTCCAACGGGCTGGCTGCAGCAGCAGGAGTTTCCTTCTCCTCCCAGAGACCTGTGCAGCAGCTTCCACGGAGGGAAACAGCACCCAGTCAGGAATGTCAGGCAGAGGGGTAGAGTGTGAAGGGGTAGGGTGGGGGGGTCACTTCAGCTTGGCCGAAAGGTCAACAGCACTGGGCCAGGGACTCACTGCTGCTGGGCCACCTGCAGGGTGAGAGAAGACGGGTCTGAGCCCACGCCTGGGCAGTGGACCCTAGGTTACCAGGGAGGTGTTTCCCCACACAGCCCCCGCTCCCCCCAGGTAACGCTGCTCACTGACCGGGGAGGGTACGTACTTGTTGGGGAGGGGGCGGTGGAGGGGGCTCACTGCTGCGGTTGGCCAGCCGGCTGAGGATGTTGCGCTCGGACATCTGGAGGCGCACTGCCACAGGTGGGATACGGGCAATGGTGGCAGGCAAGCGAGTCACATCTGCCTTCATGTCACTGAGAAGCTCCTCCAGCTGCTTCAGAACTGGAAGAGAAAGGGACATCTGTTCGGAGGGGAAAGGGACACCCCCGCGGGGAGAAGGTCAGAGGGGAGAGCGATGCTGAACACCTATCCCACCCTCGTTTAACGCACTGTGTTACCTTTGTGCAGCACGGCATTGGCTGGTTTATTCCCAGCCATCGACTCCTTCGATAGGTGCTGGTGGCTCTCAGCCAGGCATTCCACCTCTGCGAAACGCGTGTTCAGAGCCATAGATGGATGAGATGGGTCTTCCGACATGTTCAGATAGGCAGCTCGCCGCAACTGCTCCTCGATCACCAGTGCTTGCTCCAGGAGCTGCAAGATGGGGCAGGAACCAGAAAAAGTCTTTCAGCAGTTGCCTGAAAAGCAGCCTGTTTGCACCCCCAGTCTCTCCTGATCCAGCTCTCCACTGTCCCACAAGGTGAGATTCTGCAGCTGAAACTCCTTTCACCAGCTTCTGTTTATACTGAGTAAAGCCTAACAAGCCCCAAACAATTAAGGGTTCCATTAAGCTAGGCCAGGTACACAAGAAAACCCGGCTACATCTAGTTTAATAGAAGACTACCATAAGTCCTCTAGGATTCTCATTCCTCCTCAGATTCCTTTTAAAGACCAAGTTGTTTGCTATTTTACTCTTTCTTTATGAAGCAAAGGGTACAGAGCTTTCTCTTTGAACCTGAGCGAGGAGTAGCCCATGCTAGGGAAGAGCCTAAAAACAACTGTTGTGCACATCAGGGACATGATGTCAGGAGAAATCAATCTGTACCCTGTTAGTGCAGAACTGATCAGCCAGACTACATTGAATTAATGTTTTGCCCCAAGACTAAGAACTACGTGGCCTTTATTTGCATTGGTCTTAAATCACTTCCACAACTAAGCTATGGTCACTCCCAAAGAGGGCAAGGCAGAGGCTGAAGGCAACCCCTTCACCAATCCATACAGTGTTTCTAAGTTCTGCTTAGGCACACTGAGTGGGTTGTAGCACACCAAGCAGAAGCTGTGATGGAAACAGCCATTGGAACCTTAAGCCTCCTGCATACCAGTTGTTCAATAAAAATTTGTTGAGAGTGCACTGAACCGAGCTCCCCAATACCATGTCTAGAGTAAAGGGAGCTCCTATCATGGAGCTACTACATGATCCCGAGAGATGCTGCTTATTTCCACCACCAACCCCCAAAATGAAAGGGGTTGCAGAAGCCTTCACTTTCTTAGAAGAAACTCAGAACAGCAAGGTCTTGCTCTTAAGAGGTCCAGTTGGCTGAAAGGCACTTACCACACTGTCAAGAAATCCTTACCTTAAATCTCCTCGCCAAGAACTTATTCTTTATTTCCAGGAAGTTACCCCTGTTCATCTCACCCTTGAAGGGCTCATTGAGGATGGCGTAACGTGGATCATTCTGAATATCCTGCCAACGGGCATAGCCATGACTGAGATGGGATGAGCTCAGGCAAACAAAGGCAGTGAGAACAAGGGAATACACAGCCCAGGCAGACACAGTTCTCAAGAGGGGGTGGGAAAAGGGGGCGCAGAGAGGGGAGGAACAGGAGCCAAGGAAAAGGAATGAGAACTATGTCCTGCTAAGTCTTAACTATGCTGGCAGGAAACTCTTCCTCCCACCATCACTTTCACTCTTGTGAAAGAGGATAAAGCGCTCTCTAGCTTCATGTACTCCAGTCAGACCCAGGATGGTCACCTTTGCAGTGACAGTTTATGTGCAAGGGGAGAGAACTGGTCCATGAGGGTAAGGATACTTGATAATCCCAGCAAGGAGCCAATAGTCATGACGCCGATGCCAGATCTCATAGGTCTTTTTTGTGACAGTCGCAGCCCGCTCTTCATTCTGCCACAGGGAGTGTAGTTCTGGAAAAGCAAGAGACCAGAACAGTTAAAAGCCATTTCACAAAGAGGGGCTTATAAGCAAGTTCAAGCATATCAAGGCCTCTCATACCAGTGAAACCGCCATCTGCTATGTTGAACATGAAGCGCTGCTTTACTGCCTTCTTGTGCCTTTCATCTACTGACTCTTTCAGCATCTCTCCATTCTGCAGCATCACCAGATCTCTCTTATCGTCATCCTTTTTCTCATCTGTATGTACAGGAAATTATTAGAAAGAACATGGCAGATACCACAGCAAGTTGGGCCACAAGGAATCCTTGCAGGAGAGGGGTTAAGGAAGAGAAGGGAATTATGACGACTCACCTTTCTCATCCAGAGTGATTATAGGAGGTTCAGGGGGATTCTCAATGGGTGCTCTGTCTTCCACTTTCTCCACATCAGCTGCAGTAGAGAAAGGGAACATGAGATGCAGGGGAACGTGACAAATCCAAGGTTTTGTTCTTCAGCCTGTGAAACCCAATACTGCTCCCTAACTCCCTGTTCGAAGTCCTGGAATGCCCCACTGATTGTCTGTATTTACATCCATTTCTTTGGGGGGGGTGGGGGGGCAGGGGTTATTGTTATTCCTGTTCAAGGTATTAAACAATCTCCCTCAAGATACCTTTGCTTTCTACTTCCATTGGCTCATCTGGTCTTTCCTTCACCTCCAATTCCTCTACTTTTTTTTCATCTGCTTCTGTGGGGTTCACCGGGGATTTTGCTTCCTGTGGTGGCGTCTCCACAGGCTGGGCACACTGCTGAGGGCAGAAGTCAATGAAAAGCAAGGTAAAGCAGTGCATGGCAACAGGAGACAGTCACAGCAACTTGGAAAGCAAAGACGCACAAAACTGTCAGGCCAGTTCTGAGGACTCTAGGAATTATCTTTAAATACCGTTCCAAAAAACTCACCTCTGTCTCAGCAGCTGAATGACACAGAAGAGGGAGCAGAAGTACAGACATGTGCAATTGCATGAGGCAAACAAGCAACCCAACACTCACCTCCATAGGAACCTCTGTTTCAGTGGCAGAGGCACTGAGCTCTTTCTCTGGTTCAGATGTGTCTCCTTGCTCCTTCGCACTGGCTCCTTCTTCTACTTTCACTCCTTCTTCTGTGCATTCACCACCCCAGAGAAGCACAGCAGACAAAAGAAGAGAAGCCATCAGTAAAGTCTTCCCCTTATTGTTACCAAGCGCACATCTCCTTTGCTCCCAGTGATTAGGCCCATCAAAATGGGAGCAACATCACTCAAGATGCGCCCCCCTGCCTTTCCTGCCCACTACAAATGCTGGGCTTCTCTTCTCACTGATGTCAGCTCATCCAAGGGAAGCTCCTGTCCTCTCTTGCCTTTAAGGGCTTGCACATGTCTCTGGCAGACCTCCTAACACGAGAGGTAAGTTGATCTGCGTCCACCCCCAGACCCCACCACCACAGCTCTGGTGAGGGGAACAGCCAGGATGAGGTCAGGACGCAGGACTGCGCAAGAGGGGAGCTCTCACCAGGTGGAGGAACAGGGGCAGGCGTATTTGGCTGTGTATCCCCTGGTGTTGAAGGAGTTGGAGTTTTGGGAGAGGGTGAGCTTGGCTGTGAAAGTTTCTTGTTCTCCTCTATCTCTGCCAGTTCTGGCATACTCCAACGGCCATTCACATGCTCAAATTCCTGCACCTGCATGAGAGGGAGAGAAAGACTTATCACTGAAGAGTGACACAAAGCTCATCCTCAAATCAGAAGAGACAGACAACTCAGCACACAACAAAAATAGGTGTGAAAGGAGAGTTAACTCACTATCTCAGGACCCCAGTGACTCTACAAGTTGTGTGGAGAGCAAACGCTACATTGCCCTGCTAGGCACCTACCTTTTTGCGTATAAGTGACATGACCCCAATGCGAGTAAGGACATGCTGTCGGGAAAGACCTTCCCGTGGGACCCCATCTGCAAAGGTCTCTGCACCATCAGCTCCAGGTTCACATAAATGGCGCATGAACAGTGAGACATAGGCCCTGGAGCAGTTAAGAGACAAGCAATTAGACTATAAACCAGTTTAGCTGGAGACATTCATTATCAGACCCCTTCCAACACATTGGGGAAAACACCCCAAGACTCCTAACGCACAGTAACACAAGTGCTGGGGTTCCAGGCTTAAGGAGAGAATTCAAGGGAGACTCTCCTGACAGAATTACTACACACATAAAGGACATGCAGCTGACTCGGAGTCTTGAGCCAGAAACAACCATAAGCCCAAAAAAGATTCCAGGAGAGTATTCATTACATGCTTATGTGGTCATGCTACTCCTCTAAAAGCATTTGCTTTTGGTGACTGATGAGTCAAGTCCAAGAAAGAGAACTAGGAACAACCCCTTAGTCTCTCCCAGCTTATACTTTATTCCCCCCCAAAGAATCACCTAATACATGAGGAAAATGCAGTCTCTAAGGAAAGGGCAGAAAAGGCCCAATTCTTACTCTTCCCCAAAAGGGACTGGGCGTTGCCAGTCTTCCATCCCTGCCTAAGGCAGACTCACTTGAACTCTTTCTCTGACTTGCCACGGAGGTCCCGAACAAGCCACTGAGTGGTGAAGGCATCCTGAGGTGGCATTCCATAGCGCATGATAGCATTGAGGAAGGCTTTCCGCTGGCGGGCATTGAAACCCAAGACCTAGAATGGAGAAGACCGATATGTCAAGAGCCATACAGAAGCAGGTAGGAAGCAAAGGCCTACCCTGGTATCACTTACCTCAATGTTCCCTCCCACACGGGCAAGTAAGGGAGGCAGAGGCTTATCCTTATCATTTCTCAGGCCTTTGCGGCTAGGCCGACGAGCTGCTGAAGAGAGAAATGCAGCTAAGGAGGAGAGACAATGCACAGCATATTGTTGTGTGAATATTTCCCTTGCAGAACAGCACCACAAACTGTACAAATCACCCAGATCAAGTCCCAGCTGTTCCCACACTCAGAAAAAGTGACCCAGGAACTCTGGCTTCACCAGAACTTACCTTCAGACCTCTCATCAAAGTCCTCGTCTCCTTCTTCAGAAGCAACTGAATAGTCTGACTGATTATCTGACTGGTCATCCTGCCAGTCTGAAAGAAAAACAGCACGTGAGCCTGAGACGCTACTCCGTTACTTCCCAGCAACGTATACTTACACCCATTTTTCCCTCAGATTCCTGTGGATTTGTACCTCTATCCTCCTGAGAGCCATCATTGTAGTTAACTTGCTTGCGAATACGTTTGCCCTTGCCCAGATTCCTGGCCAGATCCTCCTGCTGCTGTTCATAATGGTGACGCAGCAGTTTCTCCCAGTAGTCGGGGTCCACTGACTCCTCCTGCTTAATGATCTCCCGTTCAACCTCCTCCTCCTCCTGCCAGATAGGTAACAAATTTAGAGCCCTACACTCCAAGTCCCAACCTGTCTGAGCAGATACATGCCTGCTTGCCCTTAAAAGCATCTGAGTTCAATTTTCTTAATTAATCCTACATCATTCAGCAGAAGATACTAGCTGACATCTACCTCATACTCACCCCCATCTCCTCTTCACGAACCACATACTGGGCCACCTTGAAGGAGCTGAGGTACTCATTCATGCCCTGAAGTTCTGTATCTTCCGTTTCATCCTGGTTACGATCCAACAGACGCTCTATTGCTTTGTCATCATAGTGGATGACACTGCTGTCCTCACCTTCTTTGTTATCCCCTGAGGGAAGAGCACAGGCACAGTTGCTGCGTGGATCTCAAGGGACTAAGAAAGGGAATGCCACCCTAGACCTCTCTGTAGAGCTATAGTCAGCACTGTGCCTACGGTCGCTTGCTAAAAAAGGAGCCAGACCTCCCCACCTCCTTCAGTTCTACTCCCAGGCACTCACCCCCCTCAGTAGCCTCATCCTTGAAGAGCTCTTCAGTGCCAAATTTGAGAATGTCATCAAGTTCCTGTTTGGACATGGAGCCTGTCTTGGAGCCCAGCCCTGGTCTCACTACCAGATGAGTTAACATCATTTTCTTCTTGGCCACCTGAGTGATACGCTCCTCCACTGAGGCCCTTGTCACAAAGCGGTATATCATCACTTTCTTGTTCTGTCCAATTCTGTGTGCACGACTGAAGGCCTAGAAAAGAGATGTGCTCAGAACAGTCTAGAGCTACACAAGTAGCAGTCTGATACACCCCACCTACACCTCCAGAAGTTTCCCAGCTACCTTCATGTAGGCTCTTAACATTAGTGAAGGCTGGGCCCTGGAAGAACCTCCACTATTTCACTTCCCATCTCTACCCATCCTCACTGCTCTAATTTTGCATATTTCTAGAGGGGAAGTCTCATATTCCTTCACTCCTCCCGATTATTTCATTTCCCCCTCTTCCTCAGGATTACTCCATAGTGAGTGGTCTCATTCAGACTCACCTGGATATCATTGTGGGGGTTCCAGTCTGAATCATAGATAATCACAGTATCTGCTGTGGCCAAGTTAATACCAAGACCCCCAGCTCGAGTCGAAAGCAGAAAGCAGAACTGCTGAGCACCAGGAGCTTAGATAAAAGGAGACAACAAAAGTCATCAAGGGAGAGCGCATTACTCAAACAAGGATTTGTATCTGACACACATCACCTTAGGGGGAATCACTACTAATTTAGATTCCAGGAGAGTAATGGAAGACTTGGGCCACAACAACCCCATGTTGACCGCTAAGCACATACAAGGCAACAGTTTTCATTTCGCAAAGAAAGCAAGAGACTCTGTACCATTGAAGCGATCAATAGCCTCCTGACGCATGTTCCCTGTGATTCCTCCATCAATCCGCTCATATTTGTACCCTTCATGTTCCAAGAAGTCTTCTAGAAGGTCCAACATTTTAGTCATCTGCATATTGGAAAAACATGACCACAGAAGAGTGAGGGACAAGGGGTTACAAGATCAACAGGCTCCTTTCTCAGGAAAAGAATTCCCAGCCTTAAGGTTTTTCCCCATATACCTGAGAGAATATGAGCACCCTGTGACCTCCTTCCTTAAGGTTCTTTAACATCTTCTGGAGCAGCAATAGCTTTCCAGAGGCTCGAATAAGAGCACTACCATCATACATGCCATTTGGCATTTTTGGAGCTTCCTGAGAGAGGAAAAAAGAGAAAAGAAAGGAAGTAAGGGGTGGGGGAAGAAAAGAACAGCTGAAGGGATGTAGGCTTGGCCTAGGTCCCTAGCTGTGTTTATCAGATGCCGACTTCCATCTGGTCATTTAGCTTGGCACAACCATCACATGTAGCACTACTTATATGAAACATCAGTGCTACCCCTCCACCTCTTCCTTGAAATTTGACTCCCAGATGCCCTCTTTCTTATTGACCTAGTCCCTATTCTTACTGTCTTTATCACCTTGCACAAGTCACAAGATAGCTCCTACCTGTCAATACAAAGATACTGGAAAAGGAAAGGCCTTCCAGCATGTTGGGTCTCCATGAAGACAGGATAAAAAAAAAAAAAAAACCCCACACAAAAACACAGAAGCAGAAAGAGAGGAAGGGAACTCCTCCATGGTTCACTAGGGAGCTTACTGGCTCCCTGATAACAGCCAGCAGGGAATTTGTTTATACAGAATGAGTGACTAGACATACCATAGCAGCCACAGGAAAGAGGTAGGGGTGGTTACAGCACTTCTTCAGATCCATAACAACATTGAGCAAGGAGACTTGGTTACCACCACCCCGTGCATTCAGTGCCTCAAAGTTTCTTGTCAAAATGTATTTATAGTATTTCCTGAAAAGAAAAAAAAAAAAAGACAACAGCAACTCAGACACCCCCCCATGAGAATGACTAACATACTCTCTTGCTAAACTCTGCGTAGCTCCTGGCATTACTTGCCAGCTACCTAGGCTCTGCCAGTGGCATTCACTATCTCTTTATCCCTTACATCAGAGAACAGGATTAGTCCTCTCTCTACTGTAATTGCAGCAGGAAGTCTTCCTCCTATCCACTGTGTAGAAAGCCCTATAGTGAGGATGAGGCTGTTGCAGCATCCTCTTTGAAAGAGTAGAACAGAGCAACAGTAGTTCAACAGCAGGTGCTCTCTTCATCCTCACACTCACTTCTGCATGGGGCTCAACTCCACTCTGACTATGAGTTCAGTCTTAGATGGCATATTCTTGAAAACATCAGCTTTGAGACGCCTCAGCATGTGTGGGCCCAGCATGTCGTGCAGCTTCTTGATCTGATCTTCCTTGGCAATATCTGCAAACTCTTCTAGGAAGCCCTCCAAGTTACTGCAGAGAAAGAGACACTCAGCAAAAGCCACAAAAGAAAAAGAGCAAAAAAAAAAAATGAGGAAAGGGGTAGGAGTGACAA